TGGGAGGGACTGGGATGAACTGGGAGGGACTGGGAGGGAATTGAGAGGATGGTGCAGTTCCCAAAGCCACCACCAGAGGGAGCCTGGGAAACAGTGGGAGTTCATTGAGGGGAACTGGGAGGGACTGGGATGGACTGGGGGAGACTGGGATGGACTGGGAGGGACTGGGAGGTGGATGGAATGGACTGGGAGTAACTGGGATGAACTGGGAGTTACTGGGAGGATGCTGCAGTTCCTTAAACGGCCACCAGGGGGAGCTGGGGAAACACTGGGAGTTCATGGAGGGGAACTGGGAGGGACTGGGACAAACTGGGAGGGACTGGGAGGTGGATGGAGTGGACTGGGATGAACTGGGAGGAACCTGCAGTTCCTTAAATGGCCACCAGGGGGAGTTGGGGAAACTCTGAGTTCATTGAGGGGAACGGGGAGGGACTGGGACAGACTGGGATGGACTGGGAAGGGCTGGGAGGTGGTTGGAGTGGTCTGGGAGGGACTGGGATGAACTGGGAGTTACTGGGAGGACGCTGCAGTTCCAAAAACGGCCACCAGAGGGAGCTGGGGAAACACTGGGAGTTCATTGAGGGGAATTGGGAGGGACTGGGACAAACTGGGACTTGGATGGAGTGGGAGTTACTGGGAGAGACTGGGATGAACTGGAAGTTACTGGGAGGACGCTGCAGTTCCCAAAGCTGCCACCAGAGGGAGCTGAGGAGACACTGGGAGGGAATTGAGGGCTACTGGGAGGGACTGGGATAAACTGGGATGGACTGGGATGGGATTGGGCCACACCTACAGCCTGGCCAGGAACCAGACCCTGCGGCTGGCCGTGGTGGACAAAGGTGCTGGGACGAACTGGGACAAACTGGGAGAAACTGGGAGGTGGTTGGGAGGGACTGGGATGGAGCTGGAGGGAGTAAAAGGGAGTTAGGAGGGATTGAAGGGGAACTGGGAGGGACTGGGATGGGATTGGGAGGGACTGGGAGTTACTGGGAGGGAGTGGGATGGGATTGGGAGGGACTGGGAGGGCCTGGGATGGACTGGGAGGGACTTGGATGGACTGGGAGTAACTGGGAGAGACTGGAATGAACTGGGAATTACTGGGAGTCACTGGGAGGACGCTGCAGTTCCCAAAGCCGCCAGCAGGGGGAGCTGGGGAGACACTGGGAGTTCATTGAGGGCAACTGGGAGGGACTGGGAGGGGATTGGGATGAACTGGGAGCACTGGGAGGGCACTGGGATCAAACTGGGAGGGACTGGGATCAAACTGGGAGCACTGGGAGGGCACTGGGATCAAACTGGGAGCACTGGGAGGGCACTGGGATCAAACTGGGAGGAGGCTGGGATCAAACTGGAAGCACTGGGATCAAACTGGGAGCACTGGGATCAGACTGGGACTCACTGGGAGCTGCTGGCGAGCACTGGGAAGGCTCCATGCCCATATAAGGCAGAAAGTGGGTGTGGCTAAGAGTAAAGGGGCGTGGCTTAACCCAGAATTGATAAATTTGACCCCAAAATCACGGAATTTTCCCAGATTTTTTTTGGGATTTTGGGAATTTCAGGGGAGGGGCGTGTCCAGGTGACCCCTGGCTGTGTCCCCTCCCCCACCCCAACCCCCTCAGGGTGGGCGTGGCTTTAAAATGGGCGTGGCTTCCCCCAAACCCGCCATAACTCCGCCCTAAAATTGCAGAATTTTTTAGGATTTTTCCGAGGATTTTTTTTTTAGGATTTTTTGGGGATTTTTTTAGGATTTTTTGGGGATTTTTTTCTGCGGTTTTGGGAATTTTTAGGGCCGGGGGAGGGGCGTTTCCAGCTGACCAATGGCGGCATTCCCAACCCCCTCATGGTGGGCGTGGCTTCCTGCCAAAACTCCGCCCTAAAATCGCTGATTTTTGGGGATTTTTTTAGGATTTTTTGGGGATTTTTTCTGCGATTTTGGGAATTTTTAGGGCCGGGGGAGGGGCGTTTCCAGCTGACCAATGGCGGCATTCCCAACCCCCTCATGGTGGGCGTGGCTTCCTGCCAAAACTCCGCCCTAAAATCGCTGATTTTTGGGGATTTTTTTCGGGATTTTTTCGGGATTTTTTGGGGGTTTTTTTCCCGGGATTTTTTGGGGCCGTTTCCCGGGATGTCGGGAATTCCGCAGCGCGGCGGGACCTGGCGTCCATCGTGTCCGAGATCCTGATGTACGTGCTGATCGTGGTGCTGACGCTCTGGCTGGCCGCCGAGATGCTCTACTGCTACCGCAAGGTGGCGGCCGCGGCCCCGCCCCCCGACAGCGCGTGAGTGGGCGGGGCCGTCTGGGGGCGGGGCTTAACGCTGAGGCGAAGTTTTGGGGGGAAAACGCAAAAAACTGGGCAAAAACGGGGCGAAAAATGAGGAAATTGGGATGAAAATGGGGGTTAAAATGGCAAAAGGGGGCGTGGCTTAAGTATTGGGGCGTGGCTTTCAGAGTGGGTGTGGCTAGAGAGGGCGTGGTTAAAAGTTGGCGTGGTTTGGGTCGGAATCTGGGGGAAAAATGCAAAAAACTGGGCAAAAATGGGGCAAAAAATGAGGAAATGTGAGGTTAAAATGGCGGAGGGGGCGTGGCTTAAATCTTGGGGGCGTGGCCTTGGAGGTGGGTGTGGTCTAAAGAGGGCGTGGCTTAAAGTTGGAGTGGTTTGGGTTGGAATCTGGGGGAAAACAGGAAAAACTGCGTGAAAACGGGGCAAAAAATGAGGAAATTAAGGGTTAAAATGGTGGGAGGGGCGTGGCTTAGGTATTAGGGGCGTGGCTTTGGGTGAGTGTGGTCTATAAGGGCGTGGCTTGAAGTTGGAGTGGTTTGGGTTGGAATTTAGAGGAAAAATGCAAAAAACTGGGTGAAAATGGGGCAAAAAATGAGGAAATTGGGGGTTAAAATGGCGGAGGGGGCGTGGCTTACATGTTGGGGCGTGGCTTTCAGAGTGGGTGTGGCTAGAGAGGGCGTGGTTAAAAGTTGGCGTGGTTTGGGTCGGAATCTGGGGGAAAAATGCAAAAAACTGGGCAAAAATGGGGCAAAAAATGAGGAAATTGGGGGTTAAAATGGCGGAAGGGGCGTGGCTTAGGTATTAGGGGCGTGGCTTTGTGTGGGTGTGGTCTAAAAAGGGCGTGGTTTAAAGTGGGAGTGGTTTGGGTTGGAATCTGGGGGAAAAATGCAAAAAACTGGGTGAAAATGGGGCAAAAAATGAGGAAATTGGGGGTTAAAATGGTGGGAGGGGCGTGGCTTTCAGAGTGGGTGTGGCTAGAGAGGGCGTGGCTTGAAGTTGGAATGGTTTGGGTTGGAATCTGGGGGAAAACGCAAAAAACTGGGCAAAAATGGGGCAAAAAATGAGGAAATGTGAGATTAAAATGGCAGGAGGGGTGTGGCTTAGGTATAGGGGGCGTGGCTTTGTGTGGGTGTGGTCTAAAGGGGGCGTGGTTTAAACTTGGAGTGGTTTGGGTTGGAATTTGGAGGAAAAATGCAAAAAACTGTGCGAAAATGGGTCAAAAAAATGAGGAAATTGGGGGTTAAAATGGCGGGAGGGGCGTGGCTTCAATGTCGGGGGCGTGGTTTTCAGAGTGGGTGTGGCCTAAGGGGGTGTGACTGGATTTCAGGGGGAAAAAATGAAAATTGGGTTAAAAAACAGGAGGATTGGGGCAAGAATGGGGAAATTGGCAGGAAAATGGAGGTTAAAATGGTGGGAGGGGCGTGGCTTAAATATTGGGGGCGTGGCTTTGGGTGGGTGTGGCCTAAAGGGGGCATGGTTTAAAGTGGGAGTGGTTTGGGTTGGAATCTGGGGGAAAACAAAAAAAACTGGGTGAAAATGGGGCAAAAAATGGGAAAATTTGGGGGGAAGGGGGCATTAAAGAGTTAAGGGGCGTGGTTTGGGTTTGGGGGCGTGGCTTTGGAGTTGGGCGTGGTCAAAAGAGGGCCTGTCTGAATTTTTTAAATGGAAAATTTAAAATTGGGTTTAAAAATGGGAGAATTGGGACAAAAAAGAGGAAAATAGGAGGAAAACAAGGGGTTAAAATGGCGGGAGGGGCGTGGCTTTCAAAATGGGTGTGGCCTAAAGGGGCGTGGTTTAATTTTGGGGAGGAAATAGGAAAAATTGGGAAGAAAAAAGAGAAAATTGGGGCAAAAAATGGGAAAATTGGGTCAAGTCCGGGAAGTAAAGAGTTAAGGGGGCGTGGTTTGGTTTGGGGGCGTGGCTTTGGAGGTGGGCGTGGTCTAAAGCGACATTTGGGGATTTAAAAATTTTTGGGTGAAATTTTTTGGGTTTTGGGGCATTTTTGGAGTGGAATTTTTGGGAGTTTTTAGGGCATTTTGGTGTAAAATTTTGGGGATTTTGGGGCGGAATTTTTGAGGCATTTTAGGATGAAATTTTTGCATTTTTGGGGCGGAATTTTTTGGGATTTTGGGATGGAATTTTTGGGATTTTGAGGATTTTTAGGGCATTTTTGGGGTGGGATTTTTGGGGAATTTTGGGGTAAAATCTTTGAATTTTGGGGTGGATTTTTTGGGGCATTTTGGGATGAAATTTTTGCATTTTTGGGGTGGAATTTTTTTGGATTTTGGGGTGAAATTTTGGGAATTTTGGGGTGGAATTTTGGGGATTTTTAGGGCATTTTTGGGAGGTTTTGATGCATTTTTGGGGTGGAATTTTGGGGTAAAATCTTTGAATTTTGGGGTGGAATTTTTGGGGCATTTTAGGATGAAATTTTTGCAATTTTGGGGCAGAATTTTTTTTGATTTTGGGGTGGAATTTTTGGGATATTGGGGCATTTTAGAGTGGAATTTTTGGGATTTGGGGGCATTTTTTGGGTGGAATTTGATTTTTTTGCATTTGGGGAGGAATTTTTGGGCTGGAATTTTTTTTTTGGATTTTGGGGATTTTGGGATGAAATTTTGGGGATTTTTGGGGCATTTGAGGACAGAATTTTTTGGGATTTTGGGGTGGAATTTTGGGGATTTTGGGGTGAAATTTTGGGGATTTTTGGGGCATTTTGGGGTTGGGATTTTTGGGTGGATTTTTTTTCTTTTTTTATTTTGGGGCTGGATTTTTGCGTTTTGGGGCTCCCCGAATTTTGGGGCCCCTCCCCCACCCCTTGTTTGGCCCCTCCCCCAGCTCGGAGTACCTGGCCATCACCTCGGAGAGCAAAGAGAACTGCGGCGGCGTCCAGGTGGCCGAGTGACCTCTGACCCCTGAGTGACCCCTGAGTGACCTCTGAGTGACCTCTGACCCCTGAGTGACCCGGAATGACCACAGAGTGACCCCTGGATGACCTCGGAGTGACCCAGAGTGACCCCTGAGTGACCCCGAATGACCCTTGAGTTACCCCGAGTGACCACTGACCGCTCAGTGACCACTGACCTCGGAGTGACCACTGAGTGACCAGTGACCCCTGAGTGACCACTGAGTGACCACTGAGTGACCCCTGAGTGACCACTGAGTGACCCCTGAGTGACCCCTGAGTGACCACTGACCACTCAGTGACCACTGACCTCGGAGTGACCCCTGAGTGACCATAACTGACCCTGAGTGACCTCTGACCCCTGAGTGACCCCTGACTGACCCTGAGTGACCCCTGACTGACCTCTCACCCCTGAGTGACCCCAAGTGACCACTGAGTGACCCTGAGTGACCCTGACTGACCCCTGACTGACCTGAGTGACC